CGCACGCACACAAGCTGACATGTCATGGTATAACTGACGTCATTGGCGTTAAACCTAGCCCGCTCACTAGCTCAGCAGGGGCGGTGGAGTCCCAAGTGGTTAAAGAGTTCGCTCGTCACGCCGAAGACCTAGGTTCGTCACGCCGAAGACCCATTTCTGGTTATCCCCACCGTGATAATGCTGGAATATTGCTATAAGCGGTATACAACTCACTCACTCACTAGCTCAGCCTGAGGCCAACCTTCTCCCTTTATGATCGCTCCATCCCGGACTTATTGTACAATATGTATACAACATGTACTCTTATGTTCATTGACTGGTGTCAGAGGACTGATGGATAAAACATAATTTAGTCTCGGAGACAATACAGGTTAATCGAAAACCACACTTCAGGACCTCGAATATCTCGATTTACGGCAACTGACATGAAATGTTTGTATCTGTTTGTTGTTTAACGCCGATATAGCTATATTACGGTCTGAATTAAACAAGTCTGGACAAGACAATCCAGTGATCCACAGCATGAGCACAGTTCTACACAAATGGGATACGATGACATGTGTCAAGCAAATCAGGGTGCCTCGCCACCCTATCCCGTTTGTCGCCTCTTACGACAAGCATGGGTTACTGAAGACCAATTCTAACTCGGATTTTCACGGGTTGATACGAAATGTCACATTCACACATTTACTTATACGTCTAATGTCATTACTTTGCTCATCTCAAACTCCGGACAACTCGACATACATTCAAATATGGACTCCGCCATGTACAAATTCAGTTTCAAAAACTTTGTAGCATCCGATGAGATACTATGGGATGTGATTTTACTCACATGGGTGATCAAAGTTCAAAAGATAATCCCAAATTTTATTTCCAATGTGTATATTATAGTTTCAGAGACACAATGGGTGAGGTGATCCATGCTCAATTCAGCTTGACCAGTTGAGCTTGGACTTGCCTGACAACAGGATAGATTCACCACCACTGCTCCTGGTAGCTGCCCGATTTATCACAAACCGATAAAACTCCATGATTACGGATATATTTTTCGAATATTGAAAACATATGTAAAAACAGACTATTGCAAAGCACGATAAGACGAGCGTAGCGAATCTGAATTTGACTGTAAGGAATGGAAGGGCGGCTTTCGGGCACTGTGTTCGAAGGGAAATAACTCTTCGCGCGCTTCACTTACTTGACCCTCGGTGTTCCCCTATTTCTTACAAGTAACGCTACACTTAGCCTTGCTTCAAGGCTGTACTGAATGCTGAGGTCATGGATGTATAGTAATTCTATCCTTTAACGAAGCAAGACTAGATATGAGGACAGTACAGGACGCCAGTCTATACGTTTTGGAAATTATCATTTAAACTATTAATCATTATCTTAAAGACTTGTGCAAGTCTACACGGTACATTACTCTGGTCAGTTCCACTCCTCGACTATAGGAAATGTACATTTATTTAAGAATTTACTTTCAAATATATTGTTTCGTTTACGTAATTATGAGCAGGGGTGTGCACAATAATTCCACATACATTTAATGCGATTCTTACAAATACAGCATTTCTGGTGTCCTCCCGCCGTGATAATAATGCTAAAAGCGGCGTAAAACTCACTCACTCACTTACAAATACAGAAGCCAACAATAACGTCACAGGTGGTTATATAATCAATGAAACAAATACTGTGGACTCCGATATTAGATCAGTCATTTTGCGTCATAGCCTAAGAAAAGCCCCTCTCACTCAGTTGAGCCTACCTCTCCACACCGGTCGCTTGTTGATGTCGCTTTCAAAAATTGATTGACACAAACTTGAAATATATCAATCGGTTACTAGTAACCCATCAAATGTTATGAAGTCACTTTCAGTTAATCTTTACTGGATGAAACAATCAGCCGAATGAGATTCTGAAAGGCAGATACTGGACACTTGGACAAACGTGTTTCTTTTTACAAGTGTAATCTTAACGATATGTTGCTTTTTACACTAATTTCATTTCAATACATGGACACGCTATATGAATGATCACAATGGAACAAATCATACACAACCTTTTAAAAACAACATTCTCTGAGGAAACTAACGTTTACAATCACAAAGTTCTTGATTTCACATTTCTGTCACAATTTGGTCACCTTGATGTTTGTCAGTCTTTAACTCGAAGAAATATAGTGTCCTTCTGTTTGTCTTTTTAGATACATGCAAACCTATGATCGAAGGTTCGATTACCAGTTCGACCTGATTGTTTTTATATTTGTCATGCAAGTCAGAACATTGATTACACAACAGTCTCGTTTCCTGCTGACTGGGTTCCGTCCTATTGCGCAACTTAGTACAATAACCAGTCCAGAATTTTGAAGCCAACTCATTCAACTGGATATATGAATATTAAACAGTATTATTTGATAGTCTCTTTTTATATAATTTTAAACACCAAGCCATTGATATGTTCTATCAGAATTGGCATTCTACCCTTCACGACAGCTCAAGGTATGACTGCTACAGGACATTTAAAAGTTTACTCCAGCCTGAAAAATATTTGTCTGTTTTATATTCTAAAGATTTAAGAAATATTTTTATCAAATTTAGACTTGGTTTGTTAGATTTAATGATAAATGAAGGCAGGAAAATGTCCATAGATAAGAACAGGATAATTTGTCCGCTATGTAAATCCGCAGTTGAGAATGAAATCCACTTTATGCCAGTCTGTCCATCCTACTCCATTCTCAGAAGCAAATATATTCCACACCCGTTTTTGTCAAAATCTCCTGCTCTAGCTTTCTCATCCTTGATGTCTTCTCAAAATGATAATGTTATTCTTAATCTGTCATTATTTATCAAACATAGTATGAGACTAAGAAATGTACTGTTAAACAGTTTAAAACGCAAGAACGAAATTTCACAATAGATTGCCATCTTGTTCTCTCCACTATTATATATTGTATACTGTATATTATTTGCAAATGTATATTTGTATGTGGGCCGGAGGCCTTAAATACAATAAACTCTTTTGACTTGACTTTGACTTGACTTGATACATCTAATCACTTGTTTATTGCACCACTACGCTCCTAATCCATGCAAACACGTCGTGCAGCGTGCTCTGTCGTATAGCGTGCTCTGACAAACGGAAATCTGAAAATCGTGGTTATCTTAAAACGAGGCTGAGCCGCTAGAAACGTTTAGCGGTCCGGTACGGACTTGATATTATATCAATCACATTGTGCGTTACAAAAATACATTGAATAAGCGCAAAGAACACATAACAGGGGTAACCAGTGAGCCAGATGAATTGTGAAGTGGTAAGCATCTTAGATCTGCATCACAAATAGTGTTCCTTTAACTTGAACCTGACACACCGTGATATAAATGGAATACTTACCAAAAGCGAACACTCACTCACCCACTCACTCACTCACTCACTCACTCACTCACCCACCCACTCTCTCACTCACTCACTCAGCATTGGCACGGACTGAATCCTTCCAGAGCCTGCTTGTCGTAAGACGCGACTAACGGGATGACTCGCACACGTCATCATATCCCAGCTGCTTATGATGCTCATGCTGTTGATCACTGGATTGTCTGGTCCACGGTCGATTACTTTCAGACCACCGCCATATAGTTGGAAGACTGCTGAGTGCGACTTTAAACATCAACCAAACCAAATCTTTCAGAGTCACCTCTGAGGCCCTAATAATGAATGAAGCTTACGTACAATAACTGTTTGATTTGGCTTCGAGAAGCCGGTGAGTCAGTAATAAAACGTGTGGATGACATTTTCTGGCTTAATAAACGTTACATATATATAAATTTACAACACGTGCTAATGACTGATTGTTTGGGATTTTACGCAGACTTTAGCAATATCGTACCACCTATACTGTCCATCCAAGCAAATCTTTTGTATTCTCATGTCAACGCAAACAGGAACCTATCATGCATCATTGCATTGTTCGTTAACCATGCCCTGTTAAAAAGAAAGCTCACCACCCATTCAATGTAACCCTTGTAAATACGGTACAATGGGCCTATGGCCTGCAGTTCAGAGAAATACAACACATGGGCATGGTGAACCGTTATAATAAATACAAATGTAGGTCACCGAGCCCGTGATGACTTAAAGCTACATTGCTAAATGTCCCAGCAATATCACGACGAAGCATACCAGAAATAGGATTCGTATATCTCACCCAAGTGGGGAATCGAACGCGGGATCATGCTCACTCACTCACTCACTCCTCGTGTACAGACACAATAACGGCCTGATAATGTATTCACTGCTTAACATGTTTCAGCAAACCAATAATGCTGACTTGCTGATATGGGCGGTAGGGTTTCATGCTGATAAGAGCTTAAGATCGTCATGCCCCAAATCAGGGTACGATTCCCAACGTGTGAGGCCCATTCCAAGTATTCACCGAACCGAAACTGATCCATTGAGCGAGTGAGTGAGTTAAATTGTACGCTGCACCTAGCATTATTCCAGCCACATGGCGGTGGTCTGTAAACAATCGAGGTTTGACCAGACAATCTTGTGATCAACAGCATGGGCATCGATCTAAGCAATTGGGATATGATGACATTTGTCAACCAAGTCAGCGAGCCTGACCACCCGATCCCGTTAGTCGCCTCTTACGACAAGCATGGGTTGCTGATGATCAATTCTAATTATAACCCGGATCTTCATGGGCCCGATTCATTGAGCCGCCTCGGAGGACACGTTTAAGTCACCGGACACCAGTTATAACCCAGAATATGTACGGTATGATGTAAATACATGTGAACAGGCAACGTTTTGTCATAGTTCAACGGAACACACACGTATGGGACTATGTGTGACCTTCCACTTATTCAATTATGTCATGAAATTGGCTGGTGGCATTTAAGAATTTAATGTATATCCGGACTAAACACCCTTTAATCGCGAGCCATTAACCAATTTATCGCGATTACTTCCTGTGGATAGGCACAGCCAAATACATGTATACAGAAGTTCACTTTCCACTACTGACTTTGCCAGCGAAACACCAGGTCGAAGAGATGGGGGTTTCGTTGCTATGGTTTCTGAGTCTGATGGTTCATCTGTCTCTGGGCTCTTCAGCACCGGATGAAGGTTCGTATGCGTTGTACTTTTGTAAAAGTTTATCGAAATTCTCATTTTGGTCAATACAGTTGATACGTCTTCACAATCACAAGAAGTGATATTCACCTTGTGTTAGTACTAACCTAAGAGTGAGAGTAAAGCGGTATGGCCGTCGAAAATTGGTATTGTGAAGGTTATCACATAATATATGGTTAGTCTTTGGATTGATAAATAGAACTTGATAATCGTAAAACCTTTTCATCATCGAATCGCAGATAATAGCTGCAACAAAGCTGATGTGTCGTCAACAATCAACTACATCAGAACTGATTTTCACTTTCTGTTAGTACTAACCTTAAAGCTTGAGGGCAAAACGGTATGAACGTCGCCATTTGGGGTTGTGTAGGATTTGTGCGCAATGTTATTTTGTTCGTGGACGCCACCATATAACGACTCGCTGCCTGTAGGACTCGAAGAGCATGTAAGAGCATGAGTGTGTTAAATCTTTCAGTGTTTCATATTTTATGGTTTTTTATATTGATCTGCATCCCGATTGATGTGGTAAGACATTCTGTCTGGAGAGCGAAACAAGTTTTGTTCGATGTCGCACCATACCAACATTAAAAGATGGCACTTTTTCTAAACCCTGCCTGGCGCTCGGTATTAAGACCGGTAAAACAAGGACAGGTCGGCTCGCAGTCAGTGTAATGTTAGACTTGCGCAAGTCTTTATGGTAATAATTAGTAATGTAAATGATAATTTCTATAAAAAAATAAAATAACAGACTCGAGTTCTTAGATGTACCTTATCTCGACTTGCTGCTGTAAATGATAGAATTACCATACATCCATGGGCTTAGCACTCAGTACAGCCTTGGAGCAAGGCTAGTGTAATGCGTCCGAGTTGGGTCTCCATGTGAAACTGCAGCATACTCATTGGACAGGCGTATTCCTGGACTAGAAGCAGCCAAACACACGTTCTTGTACGTCGCTAGGTAACTGAAATAATCTGAAACGCGAGGTTATACCTCATTTCACTCCACCTCAACTGTTTACATGGAATGGATTCGTATGATGTAGTTTAAGACGTTATAAACCAGTTACAGACAGGTAGCCTTTAAACAACAACAGCAGCAGCAACAACAACAGCAGCAGCAGCAGCAGCAGCTAAACCGTTCATACCTTTCAACAAATATATAGTTTCAAGAGGCCGGACGTATTGCAGATGCATGGTACGTTTCGTTAAGCTAGCTCTCCTACTCAAAACGTTTTAAATTTGACAAAAGAAACACACCTTTGCATATCGACAACGTAAAAAAAAAAGATTTTAATCTTAATTTTGTTTTTCTTCAAGGTGTTCCACAATACACGTCGACCTGTCCAGATGGGTGGACACAAGTGGGACGACACTGCTTCAGTGTCAATGAAGACGCGGTAGATGCAGATGTCATCTCCGAGGCATGTAACCAAAGCGTTGCAACCATTCGTGGCATGGAACAAAACAACGTCCTGAAGGGTACAGAAAAAAACACCTCTGTTATTACATTTCACTCTTGATAACTCTGTTCTGTTGTGAAAGGGGCGCTGGTTAAGCGTTCGCTCGTCAAGCCGAATGTTCTGGATCGATTCCCCATATGGCAGCAATATCTGAAGCCCATTTCTGGTGTCCCTTGCTCTGACATTGCTGGAATATTGCTAAAAGGGTGGTAAAACTCACTGCTATGATAAACAGGTTTCCCTGGACTGGACAACAGCACAGATTCGTGTCGGAAGTGACGTCCATTTTTTTTATCACTTTAGGATGACGCTAAAAAAATGGTTCCCTAAGTGAGTGAGTGTGTATTTCGCCGCTTTTAGCAATATTCCAGCAACATCATGGCGGGGGACACCAGAAATGGGCTTCACACATTGTACCCGTGTGGGGAATCGAACCCGGTGTGACGAGCGAACGCTTTAACCACTAGGCTACCTTACCGCCCCTGTTCCCTAAGTCGGAGGACGAGACATTCTGGTTGCATTTGCGATGACAGGACAAAGAGGCGAATAATGTCAACTTTATTGTTAGTACAAGTTTAAACATAGTACAGTGTATTTTCAATCGAGTTGAGTCTATATTTACGCTGCTTCAATCAAACCGGTATCGGATCGAAGCTCCGGTCGGGGCTCTCTGGTCCGAAGTTGGTCCAGACTATTTATCATAGAAACATACCTGGATATTCAAGGTTATTCGTTAGCACCATCATCACCACTGACGCCATGAGCCCTCTGTTTTGCCTTCATACATCGCTGCCCTGTCCCATTCATCATTTCAACATCTGAACGGTATGGTTGCTTTGTGGATAAAGCGTTAGCTCGCCACGCCGAAGATCCCCCGTCCTGATATTGCTGGAATATTGCTAAAAGCAGCGTAAAACTAAACTTACTCACTTAGGCATCCTCATCTTTCCGAGCATCCTATCTACGTTCTTTTACGCAAATACCTGTGAAGATCCGGGTTAGAATATTGATCTGCAGTAACCCATGCTTGTCGTAAGAGGCGACTAACGGATCGGGTGGTCAGGCACATATCATCGGTTCCTAATTGCGTAGATCGATGCTCGTGCTGTTGATCACTGGATTGTCTGGTTCAGAGTCTATTATTTACAGACCGGCGTCATCTAGCTGGAATATTGCTGAGTGCGGCGTAAAACTTTACTCACTCACTCACTCACTCTTTTAAGCAAATCCCGTGTACCCATTCGCAACCTTTGGAAGTAACGTCACGACTCCTCTGTTGTATCCAATTTTACCACAGAAATTCTCTCGCTCATGAGTTTGAAATCACTAACCAATCAAAACGCTTCTACTGAACGCAAGGTCGGCTTATGTTGCAATCGTAAAATATCATCACCGTTCTGTATCATTCACCTTTATCAGTAAAGCGTTGTTTCTTGCAGGAATTGTCAAGGAACCCACATGGATCAATGCCAAGTTTACATCTAATTCAGGGTGGGTAGACCCTGTGACGTTCGTACCGGTAAGTGAATATCTTCTTTTCAGGAGCGTTCTATGGAAGGCTTCCCAACGCTTTCTATCGAGGCTTCCAAACGCGTTCTATGGAAGGCTTCGCACGATCATATGAAACTTCGAAAAGTGAAACTCCATTTGAAGTGGAAATAAACTGGCGTACAAAAGGAAGTACCTGTGCTTTGTTATTATCTTTTTTTTAAAAACAACAACCCCAGAACATCGTAAATATTATAAAAAATGTTTTGATTGTGATGTGAAAGTCCCAAACAGTGTGTACGTCTTGCCACTACCAAATTGACGTTGTCAGCGTCTCACGTTCCTCATAATGACGTGAAAATGGTCGACAGGCCCGGGTGAGGACACCGCTCAGTCGTGTCATCACTGTGTTCCTGCTGATGCGGTGACCCTAAAGCTGTTGATGCTGTAAGCATCATGTCGAACAGATGGAGAATACGCAAGTGATGGTCATCTTGCGGTTGGGTCTTTCGTAGTCTGTCTCACAGTCCCTGAACTACAATATTTTCCATACTGCCTAGCCCTCCTAAAGCCCTAAATGAAGCAAGTCTAGATTTCCTGACGTTTCCATCTCACAGGGGCCCCTTTTACAATTTAAATGGATGTTTTTGTTACTATCAAAATTACATATATTCAGAGACTAGGCGTTGGTCTTTGTCTTTCTCTGGAAGTGTCATTTCTCTGACCAGACGGGACGTTCCGTTTCATGATGGTCTGCCTTGTACAGCCGAACGTTCTGGCAATATGGCCGTTCGAAACGCCCCCATCTCGCTCGGCAGTTGTGGACGCATTTTGATGTGTGTGTCTAACAGGCATAACACTAACAATTTGGAGCGACTGTGTTTTATACTGCTAGCACATCCCATGCACGTGGGATTCAACAAAATCATGATTTTCATGATATTCCACTCACAGCACCGTTAAGGATATCTGTGCTGTTTTAACAAGACGTACAGAATTATCTACGACTTGAAAGAGTCACAGTCAAAACACATTTCTAATTATTTACTTTGCTTGTTTTTGGTTTTTTTTAAAAATAATCTCCAAGCACTAGATGTACATATTCTTTCGTACGTCAGGATATATATTTAAATTTGTCATAGGTCAGTGGTATATAAAATGTCGCGCTCATTTTATGCATTTAGTAGGGGTTGGGGTTACTATTTTGCAGAACCCCCGAGACAACATAATGGCTCTAATGCCTATCATTTGTATGTTATGCTGGTCCATGTTCGGTTTTTCAAGTCAATGTCGTGGGGTATTCTTGTGGTTAAATCGTTCGCTCGTAACGCTGAACACCGGGGTTCCATTCCCGTACAATGTGTGAAGCCCATTTCTGGTGTCCCCGTCGTGATATTGCTGGAATATTGACAAAAGCGGCATAAAACTAAAGTCACTCCTCACTCAAGTCAATGTCGCTTGTTCCCACCGTGCCTGTATCGTAACTGACCATCTCCACCAGGGAAACAGCAGCACAATACAGCGGTCAGCCATGAGTACTGACCACACCTATAAACAGAGTTAGTCGGACTGGGTCAGGTGTCAGCATGGACAAACCTCATTGGGAGATCCATTCGGACCATTCCACACCACATAAACGATTGTTTGACCAGTCGTTTTGGAAATGAGCCTTTATCACACAAGTTATCTCAAAGGTCCTCTTTTTCTACAAAACTACTGAGTCGTCTTTCTCTGTTGTTTGTAGCCTTCTAACCGCCACGTGTTCTGTTAATTGTCATTTTAAGATCCGGATTAGAATTGGTCTTCAGCAACCCATTCCTGTCGAACCCGGGTCTTCGGCGTGACGAGCGAACGCCTTAACCACAAGGCTACCCCACCTCCCCCGTTGGTCACTGAGAGTCCTGAGATGAGTGACCGTGTTTGGCAGTTTGACTCCTGCTTCTCAGGCAGCTTACTTTTATCAATATTATCATGATATGTGACTGTTGATTGTATGTCATCGTGCCCCGATGGTCTTGGTTGTTGCTCATGCTTTCAATCATTGGTTTGCCTTGTCATTTACATGGAGACTCATTAAAGTCTTTGAATATATTACAACTAAAGGGGGTAATTTATGTGTCTAGCAACACTCACTCACTTATATCGTTGCGTATTCAGCTGGGTAGCCTAGTGGTTAAAGCGTTCGCTCGTCACGCCGAAGACCGGGGTTCAATTCCCCACATGAGTACATTGCGTGAAGCCCTTTTCTGGTGTCCCCCGCCGTGGTAGTGCTGGAATATTGCTAAAAGCGGCGTTAAACTGACTCACTCACTCACTCGTTATTCAGCTCAACTTTTCAAACCCCGAAAGACAGATCACCGAGAGCAGTATTTACAAATGTGGCCTGTTAACACCTGACGGCACGTGGGACCTTGACGACTGTCGAGAAGCCACATATCCCACGCTTTGTCAACGTTCTCTTGGTGAGTTAACCCTTATGAATCCGGACCCGTGAAAATCCGGGTTAGAATTGGTCTTCAGTAACCCATGCTTGTCGTAAGAGTCGACTAACGGGATCGGGTGGTCAGGCTCACTCACTTGTATTACGCATGTCATCGTATCCCAATAGCGTAGATCGATGCTAGTACTGTTGATCACCGTATTGCCTAGTCCAGACTCGATTATTTACAAACAAACACTTCTGGCATCTCCCGTCATGATGTTGCTGGAATATTGCTTAAAGCCGGGCAAGACCACACTCACCCAATCCAAGATCTTCCCTTTTAACTGGTACAAAATTAAAGATAAAATCATGGGTATCAGAAGGTCTGAGGAAATAGCTTAAATTGCTGAGTGCGGCGTTGAATAACAAACAAACAAACAAAACAAAACTGATTAATCTGATGACACTTAACCTGAATGTTTAAAATAGACATGACACTTGTAGTGTGATTCCAGACAGTTAAGGTATCTGGCTAGACGTGGTCCCATTGATTTCACCACACATTAAACCTGACTGTGATAGAAAAATGTAATGCCTCGACACTGGTTAACGGCCGGGCAGATAAGCTAGGAGTTTGTTAAACGAGGGTTTACTATATTGACATGTGATTGACCTTTCGGTTAAGAATGCGTGGACGGCTGGTACGGAGACAAGTGCATGGACCGATGCCACTGCTTCATCCCCGGCTGCAACGTCACAACAGGGGAATGTCCCTACGGCTGCGAAGTCGGCTGGACAGGCCCAAGCTGTAATATACGTGAGTATAGCTTCAGTATACCTGGTCATAGTTTCAGTACATATTGGTATAGCTGATGTACACGTGGGAATAAGTGTAATATACGTCAGTATAGCTTCAGTATACATGTATGTGGTTATAGTTTCAGTACATATTGGTAAAGCTGATGTACACGTGGGAATAAGTGTCATGTACGTGAGTATAGCTTCAGTATATTTGGTTATAGTTTCAATACATATTAGTATAGCTGATGTGCACGCGGGAATAATCGTAATATACGTGAGTATACTTTAATATACATGTACATGGTTATACCTTTAATACATATTAGTATAGCTGATGTACACGTTGGAATTATTGTAGTGTGTGTGAGTATAGCTTCAGTATATTTGGATATAGTTTCAGTACATATTTGTATAGCTGATGTACAAATGGGTATAATATATACTCTCCCAAAAAAAGAAACGCAAATATGAATATCAACTGTATTTTTATGTTTATTTTGAAACATCTTGTAGGCTTTATGAGTCAATGAAATAGAGCGAAATTGCACACTGGGAATGCAGACGTATCCGTCTTTGGCACCAACTCGAGGAAAGAGAGTTTGAGTGTCACATGGAGACGTGTGGGGGCGCTGAAGTCAATACCTCGTGTGACCACCGTGGGCATCCACAACTGCACGGCATCGCCTCGGCATCGAACGAAAAAGTCTCAGAATCTCGTGTTGCCCAATTCAGCCCACTCTGCCTGTAGTGCCTGTGCGAGTTGTTGAAGTGTTTGGGGCTGAGGGTTGCGGCGTCGCACCCGTCTGTCCAGGGCATCCCACAGATGTTCGATCGGGTTTAAGTCCGGTGATCTTGAGGGCCAGGGGAGCACATTGATGTTGTGGTTCTGGAGGAAGTCTCTAGTGTGACGTGCTGTGTGGGGCCTGGCATTGTCCTGTTGAAACAACTCCCTCCGGCGATCAATGATTGGTAGGAGGTGTGGGCGTAGGATTTTGTCACAGTACCGTTGAGCTGTCAGGTTGCCCTGGATCATCACCAAATCACTTCTCCTACGGCAGGTGATCGCTCCCCACATCATAACACTGTCCCGGCCGAATCTGTCCACCTGGGGAACGCAAGCGTCGGCGAAACGTTTACGTCAACGTCTGTACACCCGCATTCTGCCATCGCGTCGTTCCAATAGAAATCGTGATTCATCACTGAACCAGATTCTACGCCTATTCGCTAGGTTCCAGGCCTGAACGTTGGTTCACCATTGAACTCGATGTTGTTGTCGAAGCACAGGGCCAAAATAAGGTCTTCTGGCATGTAAACCAGCCTCTCTCAACCTGTTCCCGACGGTCTGTGCAGAAGACTCCTCAATCCGGGTATTTGTCGAGCGGTACTGGTCGCCGTAGCTGTTCGATGACGCAGGTGATGTACCCGGATGTAGCGATCCTGCGCCGCAGTGGTCGCTCGAGGTCGCCCACTACGAGGGGCATCTGCTACCGAATTCTGCCGGCGATATCTCTCCCAGAGCCGTGAAATGGTGCTTTTGTGAACATTCATGCTTCGGGCAACTGCACGTTGAGACTGGCCAGCTTCAAGCAAACCAATGGCGATATGACGGTTGGCTTCACTTAGACGTGGCATTTTGCGTTCGTCAACAATATTCCAAATACAGTGAATAATCGACAGACAGCGATCAACCTTTTATACCCATCATTGAGACTATCTGATCCCCAAGTTTCACGTGCATTGCATGTGAATTGTGTATTCTGTGACACTACACGCCAAAATTGAAAATCATGCTGTTAAATACGGGCATTACGGGATGGTGCGTTTTGTTGTGATGTTTCAAAACATAAACACCATCGGACTCATAAACAGAGCAAAACCTTTTGTAAAATGAATCACGTTTGAATTCATTGCTACATGAAATTGCTATTTTCATGATGCGTTTCTTTTTTGGGAGAGTATATTTGGTTATAGTTTCAATACATTTTGGTATAGCTGATGTACACATGCTCGAATGTAACTGCAGTACACGTAGGTATACATGCGATTATAGCGTCAACACACCTAGGTATAGCGGCAACGTGGGTATAGCTCCAACACACGTGAGTATAGCTTTCAAATATCATAGTGACTTAGAGTTTCAGTACACAATGGTATTGCAATACTATCACTTGATTGACGTTTACTGGGTGTGACTAAGGTACCCTAGAATCAATAGGAAGACGTTACCTAAAGTTCCTGGGGTATACTGGAATGAATAGGGAGACGTTACTGGACGTTCGCAGAGGTAGAATAGGTAAGGTGACGTTACGTAATAGAATCATTGACGTGAAAATTACCGATTGATATTCTTACATTTAAATGTTTTGCCGACCGAAATTTGAATGGTGGTAATGATTCAGATAGCAAGTTAGTTCCCCGTCCTCCAAACATTCGCTATTGTATACATTCTAGATGTATTTGCGAACTGGAGGCATCAGTTTGCGTTTGGTTAGACCCTTAATATTTTCACCTTTATATTCCAGGTCAAAAGAAGCCTGAAGGTAGGTCGTTTCAATCATATTGTGCTGGTTATCTTGTGTCGATATCCAAGAAACAATCAAAATATAAAATTCACCTAAACAATTCGTGTGAAGATCAAATGTAAACAAGGAATGCAAACAGTGAGTCAGTAAGTTGGGTTTTACGCTGCTTTTAGCAATATTCCGGAATTGGGCTTCGCACATGTGGGGAATCGAACCCGGGTCTTCGCCGTGACGAGCGAACGCTTTAACCACTGGGCTACCCCACCGAAATATAGCTAAAGCGGCGTAAAACCAAAGTCACACACTCAGTCATAGGCAGCTATGTAGTTCAGATATATCAACGGTGTTAGCAGCATTCAACCACTAATTCACTTAATTTCGACATATCAGTAGTACCAATTCATCAACCCTTTGTGTCCATTTCAGCCAGGTACCACTGCATGCGAGATGGAGAGGAGTACCACATGATTCTAAGGGTAGATAATCACGGAATCTTCTTCCGGAGTGTCAACTCCCTGGACTCTAAAGGAAAGGCCAGCTCGAAGTGTACAAGGGATAAGTTCACTGTTAACGAAGATGGTCCGATGCTGACATACATCCACGGAAACGATACACAGTTTTCCCCTGACTGTTCCGCACAAAAGGTTTGGTGTATATTTCTCTTTTTTTCCCAGCATTTTTTAAAAGTTTCAATTTCATTTTATCTGGAAAATAAATGAAACGCATTTTGCATGCGTATTTATAAGCAACCATAACACCGGGTGGCCAAAGAAATACTTAAAATTCAGATCACCATGTCTGTTTGGTTACTTACTTTATAATTAGAATAATGTGTAACTGAAACTTCATAATGCAGTTCTACGACACGCGTTTCTTATTAAGAGATGAGTTACCAGAGGAATAGTAGTGTGGTCCTTCTAGACTATCGTATACTGATGAGGTTTATGCAGTACAATGTGTATCGTACTTGCAAAAAAACAAAAAAACAAAACATTTCAGTTCATGCCTCCAGAATAAAACGTGAAAGGCAATTAAAATCAGGCTGCCTCCAAATCTTGCAGTATTTTCAAAGTGTACTGATGACGCCTTGGTTTTCAGGGTTAGACTTGGCCCCATGAAACCTATGCTTGTCTTAGCAAATGACAAATGATCAGACTCGCATAATTCTCGCCGTCATACCCGCCGGTACTCTTGATATCGTTCATTGGTTTGTCTGGCACATAATTTGCAGATTATTTAACGGTTCGTCCTTATATGAGATATTGCGGCATTCAGCAGCATTCTTCTGTGTGCATATAAACTCAAACGTATTCATAGCAAATACGTCTTCCATTCAGCTGTGTAATTTTCACAATCTATAGGGGCGGTGGGGTAGCCTAGCTGTTAAAGCGTTCGCTCGTCACGCCGAAGACCCGGGTTCGATTCCACATGGGTACAATGTGTGAAGCCCATTTCTGGTGTCCCCCGCCGTGATATTGTTGCAATATTGCTAAAAGCGGCGTTAAAACCAAACTCACTCACTCACTCAAAATATATAGCAAAGTCGCCATTATATACGATGGACAATATAATTTTGTCTACAGGTTGGCGACAATGAACCCGTCTATGAATGGACGTTTCGCCTCCAGCAATACGAGGGAGTACTTTCTCCGTTTGACACCGATGTCAAAGTAAGATGCAACTTCTCTGATGCCGACGGGATGGTTGTTTCTACGGTTCCAATACACGTGGAAAGGTATGCCTGTCAGACCTATGTCAGTCTGTCACAAAGGTTTTGCAATATAATATTTTGATCTACAGCGTTCTTCCGCCATAACAGGTATATATAAACCGCCTAATATCCGAGTTGGTTATTATGGCATGCGAATCCCAATTGTTTGACGCGATGCATGTCGCGAATTACCTCCCTTCGCCGTGTCAGGACGCGCTTTTTATTTCCCACTTTCTTTCCTTAGTGTGATCCTGGGTAGGAATAGGTTTTCAGCAACCTATGCTTGTTATAAGAGCATTTTGTGTTCAACCATAAACATAAGGTACAGATTCAGTGTAGTCTTGCTATCGCTTGAATCGAATCACTTGCTTTACACGTATGTCAGCATGTCCCTAAAGGTGTTATGGCCATTGAATGGCTGCTTGAGAGATGATAACAAGTCTTGAGATGCCGTTTTTATCTGAAAACTTCATGTATTGAGCAAGTAATTTCCAAAGTAATAAGAAACTTTGCATTTAAAAGCAGCCCACTGTGCGATTTCGTCAAGCAGGTGATTATAAATCACTGTCCAATACTAATGACACCGGGTGTTCGCGACATGATGAACCTATCCTGACCCACCGGTGACACGGGGTACAAACACATGCATTGGCAGGTCAGGTGAGAGACAGCAATTGCTGTGAATGAAAAATAAGAGTCACACACCCATATTGCAAAAACCTTCGGCTGTTCCGCACGGTGTACGCACTTTTTCAGCATTGACGGTTGGAAACCACAACTCGTGTCTGGCCTAGTACAGGAAGGCCGTCGATTACGGCGACATCAACAGCATCCATGACGCTTGTACACCGTATCAACTGATCTGCATTCACACGACGTCAATATACCATGGATATCAGGGCCTGTTGTAACAGGCCATGTCGCTTTGGGACTGTCCGACGTTGGCAGCAACGTTGGGGACAGCTTAGATTGTTCGAGGACAAAAGTCGGTTCTTTTACAGTAGAACAGGCGAGCGGCTGGAATGTGGGTCAAACGGTACTATGCACATGGAAGAGGAGGTGTTATGGTATAGGGAGGAATTGGTGCTGATAAGGAAATGGTGACCTCAATGCACAAAGGTATCGAGACGAGGTTCCTCACCCGGTGGTATTACCATTCTACGTGGACAACCACGGGGAACCATTTCGCAGCAAGGCAATGTCAGGCCGCATACTGCTCAGATTGCCTTGTCAACTACAATGTACTGGTTCTGCCATGGTTGGCATGTTCCCCGAATATGGAACCTCCTGAACACTTGTGGTACCACTTGGACAGACAACTGAGAAACCATCAACACCAGCCTTTAGAAAAAGTGGGAACAAGCTGTGTTAGGAGGTGAGGTGAGGTGAGGTGAGGTGAAATGGGGTTTAACGTCGCACTGAAGAATATTTCGCTCGTATGACGACGTGAATGCATGGCTGCTTGTACTAGCCCAGACTGAAGCTGGTTTTATAGTGCTAGCTCACTGAGATATCATGCCGCAGTTAGGCATGGACACCCCACTCAGACACATTATACTGACTCCGAGCCGACCAGTCCTTGTTGTACCCATTAATGCCGAGCGCCAGGCAGGGACCAACAAGTACCATATTGTAACGTCTTTTGGTATGACGTGGCCGGGACCGAACCCACGACCTTCCCCTCTAACCACTACACCACGGAGGCGGTCCAGCTGTTTTAGGAGGACACAAGCGGTATTAGGCAGAAGAAACATCAATTGAGCTCTACAATAAAACTGTTCCTTCTATGTCCATTTGAAATGGCACCTAGTTCTATTTGCCAAGTGAATGTTCACGGAAAACATTATGTTTACCCCTGTCAGTGGACCAATTTCCACTCGATTTTCATTCTCAGTAGTGTATACTACTCAAGCCGCCTGTGAAGTGCTAGAAGATAGAAATCACGTTACAAACACATTCATCCTACCGGGTACCCTTTCACTGCTCAGAGAACAGTCACATACGATGAACAATGCCAGAGGTGAAACCACGTGTGCTTTACGTTCTTCATGTTAGAAAGAGTTACTGACCCCAAAAGGTGTCTATTATTTTATATTACGTATTCTGTACGTATTCCCCTTCAAGTGTCTTGAAATAACATCCGCGTTGGCTTACAAAATACGCAGATCAAGCAGTGTTTGCCCTTAACCCTGAAAAGCTGCAGGCCCTAAGGACCCAGCACCATAAAAAGTTGTGGGTCCTGATCAGAATGTGTAGGCCCTATATTTCAGCTGAAATACGAGTAATCCCCAGCTAACAAGGTCATTAGGACCTGCAGAAAACAAAAGCTGTCGGTCCGAGTGGCTTTCAGTCGGCTTCGGGTCTAAGGACCGACATTAATTTCGAACGCTGAGATCAAGGGAAAACATGGCAGTAGCAGTGATAAAATATCTTGCCCAAACTGTAAATATCACTTGATGCGGGCTACGGTTAAGTCTATGTCCATGTACATGAACCAGTGATACTGTTTCAGGAAAACACAACCCCCAGAGGTGGTCACTCCGAGACACGTGTCTGGCAATGTGATGATAGTGGACGCTAAGAGTGGGGAAGAAGTCAACCAGGTGGCTTTTGGTCAGGAGATCCAGATTGTGGTTCCAACGGCCGCACAAAACGTCTCAGGTACGCGCCAGTAGCTTTAATGGTATTCGGTGTATATCCCTTTTTGGCTAATGAGTGTTGAAATAGTCCCAAATGTTTCCTAGTGATAATACTAACAATTCTCCGAAAGGTTCTTGATGGTTCGACTAGGCAACGTTTCCTGGGAGAAGTCCCATTCGCTGTTTGGGCTGAGTGTAGAGGGCCCTGAGCTGATGATGTTTTACCAGCCTGTCGACTCTGCCAGGGTGACCCGAACCCCCTCTGCTGCATTTTTACATCTTATTCTGTAAAGCATAATAATAATATAAGTTGTATGCTTCTCCCTGATGTACGCCTGATGTACGCCTCTTTGTAGCAGTGTCACCCGAGCCGGTGGGCGAGGGATGACACTACTACAAAGAGGCGTACATCAGACCGTATTGCCCGAGGGAGAAGTATACAACGAATTGATCTTACCGCCATGTTGCATGTACAAAATATCATTTTATTTTATGTTAAAGATCGCTACTGACTATATGACATGCAAACAAAATGGCGTCTGCCTCTCGACTGGATTTTTAACATCACTGAAACATATTCTGACAAGCATAAACCTGCTATAAAAATTGTTAATTATGTTTAAGCTGAGTGTGCAAACCACTTAATGTATAAAATAGCTTAAATAAAGCAGTGAAAGTCGGTAAAATAAATCTGTACAAAGTGAACACAAAAACAGCTGATTGAACGGTTTTCGAACTCAGGGCACGGCATACGTCATATTATGACGTCATACGATTGTTAGCGCTTGATCTTCTCGGTGGAGAGCTCGGTGGTTACCGAGCGCGGGTAATATTTAAACTTGTTAAACCGTCAATGACCAATGAAATTAAAGTATTTTACATGAAGGTAAGATAAGGCCACTTATATGGCGCTGATCTCCAACCCGCACGGATATCCTCTAAGACATACAACTAAAAGATGAACAATCGTCAGTAATTATGGAACAGGTGGGTCTTTATGCCAGATTTAAAGGCAGTCGAAGTAGGACTGAGGTGAAGGGGAAGAGAGTTCCACAGCACGGCAGCAGAGCCTTCTCCCACGATCAGCTTGGTTGATTGGGTGTCATCGAACCTTGGGGGCTGGAGGTTGCTCGTGTTGTCAGGTCCAGAATGGCCTATCAAGGTGATATTGTTGGAAAGAATTTGTTTTACAACAAACTGCTATCGTTGGAAATCGAACCCAAATGTTTTGCATGGTGTCAGACAAATATTATAATCTACTGAAGGATTAATGCACGATTATCACAGTTTCAGATGATAGGTCAAGAATCGGCCTCCTCTCACCCCGCAACTGTGAGGCTAAAAGTCCTGACGGTAAATTTGTGAAAAAGATGACTGATGCAAACGGGTAAATATTCAAATTTCATTACCGTGACATTAGACTCGTGAAGGTCCGTGTTAGAATTGGTCTTCAACAATCCATGCTTGTCGTTAGAGGCGTCTAACGGGTCGTCAGACTCGCTGACCTGGTTAAAACATGTCATCGTATCCCAATTGCGTAGATCGATGCTCATGTTGTTGATCACTGGATTGTCTGGTCCAGACTCGATCATTTACAGACCGCCATCAGTTACTGTAGCTGGGATATTGTTGAGTTAGACAACAACCAAACCAAACCACCGTGACATTACATTCCAGGCTAGAATGTCCCCAACCCTGTGATTATGACGTTATTTGTGAATATGGAATAAAGTGTCCACTGGTCAAACTGACCTAACCTACAACATTGTCCAGTGTTTGTCGAAATACATTTGCATAGATAGAACTTGATAAACCTGTTTAACAGGGGCGGTGGGATAGCCCCGTGGTTCAATCGTTTGCGCGTCACGCCGAAGACCCGGGTCCGATTAACCACAAGGATATGTGAAACCCATTTATGGTGACCCCTGCCTTGATATTGCTGGAATATTGCTAAAAGAGGCGTAAACCCCAACTCACTCATTCACTGATAAGTTTAACAACATGTGCCATATAGATGTCACCTGAATGGCTATCACAGATGTGTTATGAGTCGAAATATATCCTTGCTTAGAACCACATTATTTAGACAAATGTGTTAGAGAGTTCGCTTTGTCCTGCTCCCCTACTTAATGGCAGTGTGAGGTGAGGTGAATTTGTGGTTAAACGTCGCTCTGGAGAATATTTCGCTCATATGACGACGTGCATGCGTGTGTATGTGTACGTGCGGCTGCTTGTACTAGCCCAGACTGAAGCTGGTTTTATAGTGCTAACCCGCTGAGATACCATGCCGCAGTCAAGCATGAATACCCCACTCAGACACATTATACTCCGAGCCGACCAGTCCTTGTTGTACCCATTAATGCCGAGCGTCAGGCAGGGACCAACAAGTACCATATTTTAACGTCTTTTGGTATGACGCAGTCGGGGATTGAACCCGCGACCTTCCGCTCTCCGGGCGGACGCTCTAACCACTACACAACGGAGGCGGTCTAATGGCAGTGTGGTCACTGTAGCTGTTTGATGCCATGACATACTATGCACCCATACAAACACCACAGCTTACTGTTTTCTATTGCAGGTGCGATGTTTACATGACCACGGGAGGGTTCACCTTGAAAGGAGATTCGGGCGAAGAACGACGCATGAGTTCGCAGGCGTTTAGTGCTTTCGCCTTTGCTGGATATTCGTCCTTGACCTTCAGCTGTGACCTCAAACCTTGCTATAATCCAGTACGCCAAGATTGCGTCTCGGTATGAGTATGATAACAAACTGTTACATCTTACAGATATTGATAGACCGTTGTTGAAAGTGGTGTGATTTTACAAAAAATAGTTATGTTGTGAACACGCATAATCGTACCACAACGTATACTGTGAATCGACCCTGCAGATTCACCACTCACCCCTTTCCGTAACCTTAAAGAAGATCGCTATTCGGCTTGTCCCGGAATAACACGAGTTGGTCACGAATGCTGCAGATTCTCAACAAATGTGACAGCTTTTAGACTAGAGTAGCTTCCCTTTGATAAAGGGAAATTACTCGAGGAGGCGGACTACGGGTTACCGCTAATGGCGACCTTCAACTTTTTGTGCTCTAAAACTACCTTATATACGTCGTGTGAAGTCTCAACTTTTCATCCATTAGTAGTTACTTCACTGACTAGTACATAATCTTCTGTAACATTTCACTATATTCTTTCAGCCATGTGGACGTAATCGATATGGGCGGTCAGCTGATAATCCTTAAAATACTCTTTGGGTAAGTTAGAACGAAGGTGAAGGTCAGTGAAACGAGGGGTCGTATTAATAGAGATTTACAAACCGAGTTGCTGCTGAATATGGAAAATATCCAAACTAGAATTTCGCTCATGAATATATTAAAACGTATAAAAAATATTGAGTTGAAATGTTTTCCATGTTCAACATCCATGAGTTTTGTGATCTATTTATTACACACAGGACGGGAAAACAGTGTGATCCGTGATGACAAATCAAGCAGACGGTGCCGCATGTAAACAAAACGAAAGGGAGATAATTCTGTCACGACTGATAAACAATTAACAATATTCAATTGAAAACAACTACTAATTCTCAGGACACTGAAACTGAATTTTAATTATCCACAAGCCTATTGTTTTGTTTGGTTAACATTTTTGGTAAAAAGACCATGCTTAAATGAAGTTATAAATGCTTATTTACAATATCGAAGTGGCAACAGAAAGTTCGGCACTATCGTCGAATAACCTAGTTCGGTTACACAACACTCCCTGGATAACTTTCAACTGGTTACACAACACATGTTTCAAATAACCAAAATTATCTCATAAATAAATACAGAACAGGCGCGTTGCAGATAGCTTGCAAAGCTTTATATTTCGATAGTATTGAGGGCTTGCCCAACGTTTTCATCAGCAATCATATGTAAGCCCTTGCTTTTTGTTATAATGGTAGCTACGCCCCTGCAGAACACGTGTGTAATAAATGTACATATCCGCTGACGTACGTTACATTAACGTATGAAATGAAGCTGTTCTCTTACGTATTCTCCTACATGGAAGTATTGTGCCCCGTATGATGTTCTCATGTACACTACTCAAATGACGTTAAGTGAGTGAGTGAGTGAGATTAGTTTTACGCCACACTCAGCAACATTCCAGCTATATGGCGAATGAAGGTAAGTACCAACTAAAGTAATATGAAAGAATCGCGTGGTACTCAACCTATTTTGAGTAGTATTTAGAAGAACATCATATTGTGCACATATACCACTCAAAACAAATCAAGGACAATCCAGTTCTTTCATATTACTATGGGTAATAAGTTATGCCATGACGAATTATCTGTCGCAATATGAGAGAATCAAGTGATCCTTAGGTTTTTGTGAGTAGTATAATTGTATATGGATGAAAGTGTCAACTGGGTTGGCTTAGGTTACGTTCAGATTGTAAGAAAGGTTACAAAGAACAAACTTTTTTTACCTAATTTTAGAGTCTTGTGTGGACATAGTTATTGTGAAACATATTCATCGTGTGCATGTTTTGCTTTTGTACATAAGGCAGGGCGTTAAATACCCTGCTTTATCAGTGTGTCGCACTAATTTTTCAAACTCCACTTTCTCTGATCATTACAGGACTGAGGGCCGTAAGAAGGGGTGCTGGGCTACAGAGTTCGATAATTCCGTTCTAACGAAAGCTTAAGCAAATAAACAGATGATTTCCACAACATATAGTGTATTATTTGTTTCTCCATCAAAGTTGAGATACACAGACACGTATCTATGACGCCGAACCGTTTGGACTCTGGTCCAAGAGTGAGTGAGTGAGTTTAGTTTTACGCCGCACTCAGCAATATTCTAGCTATATGGCGGCGGTCTGTAAATAATCGAGTCTCAACCAGACAATACAGTGATCAACAGCATGAGCATCGATCGACGCAATTGGGATACGATGACATGTGTCAATCAAGTTAGCGAGCCTGACCACCCGATCCCGTTAGTCGCCTCCTACGACAAGGAAGGGCTACTGAAGATCATTTCTAAGTCGGATGTTCACGGGTCTATTCTGGTCCGAAGTAAGGCTTATGAAAATGTTCTTGATTCTCAATCGTCGACCGAACCAAGAAATCGCCCCTTCGAGAAACAACAATACCGCAAGCCTGACAGTTCTCAATTTGCACATGCAGATGACTTCTTTGACAGTTTTTTCCTTCTTAAGTACCTCCAGTCCTGCGGCTACGTTTTGGCGCTTTATCGGGTTTTGTTCAATCACAATGAGCACGCATTTCCCTGTTCGGTTTCAGTGCAACTGGATGCACACTTCGAATATCAGTCATTATTTTCAGTCATTATGTGTGAAACAAAACCCTTTTGGGACAGTATATGTATGTATAAAGCGGGCTTTTCAAGGTGAAGCTTCTTAATAGTACCGCCTCTGAGTCGTCTCTCGTCCTCTCTGCGAGGAAGGATGCTGATATTGCTGGATGACGACCTACATTTGACCGTACTGTATTGGTTCACAACTTTGCTGATGGAGACTTATTGGTGATATATAAAAGTTCATAAGTCATCGTATCGCAGTTCGTAGGTGCAATGTGTAAATCGCTGAAATGACCGCTGCAGACTTACTTAATTACAGCCCCCTCATATAACTGGAATATTGCATATATTAGGCGGACGTTAAGCACCAAACAAACAAAACGAACACAACTGAACAGTGGACTTTCCCATCCCTTTAGTCCATATTTCCTTCTACGAAACTAGCCAAGCAAAGCAAACCCACAGTACCTGAACACCAACCATGAAACATGACAGAGTTGCTCCACTTTGGCATGGCAGAAACCTATGATCGTTGGTTACGAATCCTATTATTAACCCTGCGCCATGCCTCTCAGCGCCATGCCTTTGCTGAAGGGTTTTACCAACCTGGCAAACGTGAAAGACAATCAAACACCAGGCAGGAATCTTTCTCATATGGGAGCTAATACTTGGGCTTGATTCTCCGCACAGGTACAATGTGTGAAGCCCATTTCTTGTGTCCCCACTGTGATGTTGCAAGAATATTGCGAAAAACGGGGTAAAATCATACTCACTCACACAATAATTCACTCACTCATAAGAAGCACCAGCATGCCACATGCATATTTTCGGACTTCGTTAATCTTATCTGCAACTACGTCGTGGGTAGAAGATTGTTCCGACATGTGGTTACGACTGTCTTGTGCATATCTCAGGAATGAGCCATGATTAAGCTGACGCGTAAGGATACATCAAACGCATGTAGTTCCCAAACTAAACCCAAACGAGGGTGTATTTTGAACAGTTTTGGCTGTTGATGTAAATGCCAGAGATTGATAAGGTATAAACACTTTCCTTTAAACATAGTTTTTCCTTTCGAGTTTCGAGTTTTACATCACTGACTTCTCCATCACGTGATGTCAGACAGTTTGATAAGATATAACACCAGTGGCACGGCGCTATGATCTACATGTGTGCAGTGCAAGTACTGCAGAGAGTTAGCCATGATGTTTGAAGCAGTTTTCCGTTTGTGTATATTTCTGCCTTACATCTCTGGACTGATTCTGCCGTTAACGACATCCGACGGTACTGTCAACCTCACCAGTATCTTGAGTCACATCACTCTCCTCGAACAGACTGTGGACACTCTTCACAAAGAAACACATCAGCTGCAGATAGATCATCGGGCAACGAACGAAAGACTCCAGCTCACACAGGCTGATCTGAATATTACAAGACAGGAACTACAGACGTCTCGAACAGACCTGCAGGTGACTCGAACAGATCTGCAGGTGACTCGAACAGGTCTGCAGGTAACTCGAACAGATTTGAATATTACAAGACAGGAACTACAGACGTCTCGCACAGAAATCCAGGCAACAAAGGTCGACCTTCAACTTACGCAGACCGATCTTCAAACTACAAAGAAAGACCTTCAGACCGCCCAGACAGACCTCATGACAAAGGGTTTACAACTGAAACATTTGAATTCAGGTCAGTGTGGTAACCAAGTCTTTAAACTAGTATGGAAAACCTATTATAATTTTGATAAGCCTAGTCACGAGATTGCTGTTTCAACTATAATTAGTGTCTGAAAATACTTAAAATTTCTTAGAAAGGCGACTTGTCATTTTGACTGGTCGTACTCCAATGTCTGGGTGACTTGGCATTTTGGCTGGTCGTACACCAATGTATAGGTGACATTTTGACTGGTTATACAAAAAGGTCTGCTCCAGAGTCAATTGTTAAATCACTATCAGTTTAAACTTTGAGAGTTGATACTTGCAAACGTGCAAGGATTCTTCCATATACAGTACAGAAACATTGCATTATATATTCCACCAAGTGTTCCTTCACCGCAGTGTCCGAAACCAGCGCCGTGGCTTTCCAGGTTTTTTGTGTCAAGTTCCTACAACGTAACATCACTAGAGCCCGTGGTGTATGACAGCATCATCTACGACACTGGATCTGGCTACAACACCACGACTGGGGTGTTCACAGCACCAGTGAACGGAACCTACTTGTTCTGGATACAGTTGGGCATTCGTCCCCTAAGGTATTATCCATCCACTTCGATCAAACAATCGGGAAAGACAATCGGCAGTGGTTGGGCTGCATATTCTTCTATTTCCGAGGGCGCAGTTTCCGCTACATGTGTCAGTCATCTGCAGAAGGACGAGGAGGTGTGGGTGCAGTTTGAAGAGTTCCGTGGAGATATTCCAACACCAGTCACCGTTCGTTCAGGCAGCTATGTAGGAGATCCGATATCCTACTTTGGTGGTGTCCTTTTGACAATGGACTAATTTCATTACAGGATATCTGCTTCAACAGTTTTGTCTAATTCATCCAAACTTCATTGGCCTTCATTATCTTACAATACTTGTACTGGCAACTTAGAGCGATCTGACTTTCTAAAGGGTAATTATAAAATTAACTAATATGTGGGATGAATTTCTACACGTATCTGTATTTTTAGCACATTTCGACAAACCGAAGCAATACCAACGCGCATCATGCGCGCCAGTTTAATGTTTAGGGGCAATAACGGCAGCAGTTATCAACTGATTTGGGGCAATGGGGTAGCCCAGTGGTTAAAACGTTAGACCCAGGTTCGATTCCCCACATGGCTACAATGTGTAAAGCCGATTGGAATATTGTTAAAAGCATCGTAAAACTAAACACACTCACTTATTATCAACGGATTTTATTGAATATAGAACGTCAGTGCAAAAAAATACCCAGTCTTCATTATCTTTAGAAGCAAATTCCGTTTGTTTGGTGTAAACGGAAACATAGCTCTGAAAATTATATGAAAGGATCACTGAAAATCAGTGATGACACCAGGTGTTCGCGACAAGGGTAGGCATGTCCTGCCCTACAGTATTGTATGGTGTTATTCTCATGAATACAGCATGTGATGTGTCCTTTCAAAAACATTATCTAACCACCTCCGTGGTGTAGTGGTTAGAGTGTCCGCCCGGAGAGCGGAAGGTCGCGGGTTCGATCCCCGACCGCGTCATACCAAAAGACGTTAAAATATGGTACTTGTTGGTCCCTGCCTGGCGCTCGGCATTAATGGGTACAACAAGGACTGGTCGGCTCGGAGTCAGTATAATGTGTCTGAGTGGGGTATTGATGCTTCACTGCGGCATGGTATCTCAGTGGGCTAGCACTATAAAACCAGCTTCAGTCTGGGCTAGTACAAGCAGCTGCACATACACATACACACGCATGCACGTCGTCATATGAGCAAAATATTCTCAAGCACGACGTTAAACCCAATTTCACCTCACCTCACTTCAAAAACATTATCTAAATTCAAGTGGTCATGCCATATACCTTATGATGTCAATCACTGAATTGTCTGACACAGACTCCAGACTATTTACACAAAAGATATTGCTGAGAGCAGAGTTAAACAAGAGACAGATCAACAAAAAAGTTATGTTTAATACACAGTCAAATTAAGTTGGTCAAAGGATTCATAGCAATAACCAAACATGCCTTCTCAACCCACTCCCTCGGAAAGAGCAGGCAGGCCGTGCTACCGGAGGTCGGATGAAGTGGGTCCGTACGAACAGCTGAATGACAGGCTGTCCTATTGGAGACAGGGGACATGGGCCTAGATTTTCGAAGCTCTCTTAGCGCTAAGATAGTCGTAAGTTTATGTTAATGTATGGCACTTACGACTTTCTTAGCGCTAAGAGAGCTACGAAAATCTAGGCCATTGACAGCAGTTCTTCCATCTAAACCAATCCAACCCCAAGTCATGACTGAGCCTCCTCAAGTTCGGCTTCGTTGGAATCCTGAATCCTTGTCTTCGAAACACTTGGGCAGGACACTCTATGAAGGCAAGACAATATTTCGAGTCACCTGAAAAGTAAAGGGCTTGTTTCCCAAAGCTATCGTAGCGCTACGACTGTCGTACCTCCGATACTGGGCCTATATTTTCGAAGCTCTCTTAGCGCTAAGATGGTCGTAAGTTAAAGTTAATGTATGACACTTAGCGCTAAGAGAGCTTCGAAACTCTAGGCCCTGTAACATAGACTTACGTCAGTCGTAGCGCTACGATAGCTTTGTAAAACGGAGCCCTGGAACCCAGTCCTGATGTGTCCAATTGACGTGATCTTCAGCCCAATCCAGACGTGCCTGCGTGTGATATTGGATCGATGGGATTCGGATGTATACCGAGACGAGCCTCACGGAGACGATTATGCACTGTTTGAGCTGAATCAACGTCATCAACGTACCAATTGTCATTCCTGACACTATGTGGTTCGCGATTATACATGGCAATAGATGGGACTCGCAGTCTTTGAGGTAGGTCAGCACGATTATCTCATGAGGAGAGTGAAGCCCATTTCTGGTGTGTCTTGCCGTGATATTGCTGAAATATTGCTAAAAGCGGCGTAAAACTAAACTCACTCACTCATGAGGACCATTATGCTCAAGCCTGTGTCGCAGAGAGGAATCGCTTCGGGGAGGTTACGTGAACTGGGGTGGGATAAGTGCTCATCAGGGAACCCCTTTTAAAACAGCTGCTGTTTAGGGAAATTTGATAGGTGTGGGCTACAGAGACAAGATTTTCGGACCAGTGACAATACAGTTTCTTCAACGTCGTGATTCAAGATTGACAATGACCATGATAACGTCCGCCTTCACACGCCTAGAGTTGCTTTGACTTTTTTTCAGTGAACAAAGTACTGCCTTGGCCTGCAAATTCACCGGATATTTCCCTTATTGAGCACGTGTGGGATGAAATGGAGAGACGTCTACTCTGTATGCCAAATCCGCCAGATAAAGTATGTGAGTTGAAAAGAACATGAGATGCCATTCCACAAGCCTCCAGTGACCATCTGATAGACTATATGCGTGGGCGATGCTCTGCCGGTCTCACTGTTCACTGTGTGCGTACCCGTTATTGGGTTTGTGACCGCCGCCTCGCAGTGGACATTAATTTCGAAAGTATTTTAATAATCTCCAGTCAACCAGACAAACTTGACCCATCCGAGACAACGTATCAGGCCATAAGGCAGCAAACATACAGAAGATCAAATACTCGAGAAAACAAGACATTAAAAGATGTCAAAAATGACATTACATTACAGACCACCACCATGTAGCTGGAATATTGCTGTGATTGGCGTGAAACACCAAGCGAACAAACCCGAAACAATTGATCATTGAATTCTTCCCTCTGAAACCAAACAAAGAAAACAAACCAATATTACCTGAATACCAACAATCTGATGGGTACGTGTTGGACAAAGTAGGTGGACACAGCCGAATCCCTTGCTCGATAGCTAAACCTTTGAAATGGCTACTGCCAGTACAACGTTAATTGGTATCGGAATAAGGCATAACATTTGTGTTCCGAAAACCCCTTCAATATAATTCGATAGCACATAATTCAACACTCTCATGTGTATTGTGAAAATATGAAACACTTTTCATCAGTCAGTTATCATACAAGTAATGCAATATGTTATGTAATTTAGGTGTATGTTAAGATTCTCGCAGCACAGCAAAAGGATATCGCGAGTGACCGAGTAACAGAGTAACCATCAACCAGTTTGAACATCTCTCATGTCAATTCTGTTGCATGGTTCTGGGGTATAGTGAATTTAAATGCATTGGAAATATATATTTTGGCACTGAAACGTTCTCATAATAGTTGAAACTCATTTCTACGAGTCCTCAAAAGCCATTTAAGATGGTATTGTATATGGTTGAAAATGCAAGTGATGCTCGAAATAAACATATGGGCTATGTTAATTAAAACTATACTGTTTCAACTGGATCTTGGATATGCATGGATTGGGCAGGGAGTTGAGGATGTTACAGCTTTTTATCCCTTGTGCAACAAAGATGTAAAGATTGCTTTCACCAAGAATGGACTAGGATATATTTAAAGTGGAAAATGTTCTATTCGCATTCTTTGCTGAAACAACATCTTATGAGTGAGTGAGTGAGTAAGTGAGTGAGTGAGATTTAGTTTTAGCAATATTCCAACAGTATCACGGTGGGGGACACCTGAAATGGGCTTCACACATTTTACCCAAGTGGGGAATCGAACCCGGGTCTTCGGCGTGACGAGCGAACGCTGTGACCACTAGGCTACCCCATCGCCCCAAACATCTTACGTGTGAAAAGTATTTACCTACTTTAAATGTGAGGAAATAAAGAGCAGTTTCGATGTGGTTATTATAATCTAACGTATTATAAAAAAACATGTCATGCCACTGAGAACCAATCATGCAGAAAGTGGAACACTGATAATATTGAAGATGAATACCACGTTATTCTCAGATGTCCACAGTATGAAGACCAAGGAGTCATTATATCCCATCTAAGTATACATCCTGTCTCACAATTTACGCATTCTGTATACTTATGCCAACAGAAAATGCCCAGCTTCTACAGAATGTTGCTACGTTAATACCCCATGCACTGTCAACACGTAAACGTACATGTACCAATAACCCATTATAACC